AGGAGGAGTTTAACTCCTCAGTGTTCGGGAACAAATTCTTTTATTTCCCCATATTCCATCCCATATCCCATATTCCCCATATTGGGAAAAACTCCCAATCCATGGAATTCTTGCTGGGATCACTGGGCAGATGTTGGACCAGAGTTACTCACTCCTCCATATTTAATTTCTGCAATTTTTGGGGGGATTTGGAGGAATTGGGATGGTGGAAGTCCAGAAATCCCCATTTTTTGGGAGATTTTTAGCTGGACTTTAAAAGGATAAACTCCAATTTTTGGCTCAAGGAAATATTTTAAAGCTCCTTGAGTCTCAAACATGTTGGAGGACATGAACATTGAAATAAATTGGGAGTATTTGATTGGAATATAAATTGTATTTGGGAATATAAATTGAAATAAATAAAGGGAATATTAAATAATTCCCCCCCTAGAAAAGTGGATTAACTCCATCTCAAGGATGCTCAGTGTTGGGAGACAAATTCTTTTGTTTCCCCATATTCCATCCCATATCCCATATTCCCCATATTGGGGAAAACTCCCAATCCCAATGGAATTCATGGTGGGATCACTGGGCAGATGTTGGCAGCTGGTCCAGCTGGGGGCTGGGACTGTTGGACCAGAATTATTTATTTTTTTGTATATATATATATATATTTTTTTTTTTTATTTGGAGGAGTTGGATGGTGGAGGTCTGGAAATCCCCATTTTTTGGGGGCTCCTTGAGGCTCAAACATGTTGGAGGACACTGAACATTGATATAAATTGGGAATATTTGATTGGGAATATAATTTTTGATTGGGAATATAAATTGCATTTGGGAATATAAATTGAAATAAATAAAAGGAATATTGAAATAAATTTCCCCCTGGAGTGGATTAATTCCATCCCAAGGATGTTCAGTACTGGTGGACAAATTATTTTGTTTCCCCATATTCCATCCCATATTCCCCATATTCCTCATATTGGGAAAAACTCCCAATCCATGGAATCATGGTGGGATCACTGGGCAGATGTTGGCAGCTGGTCCAGCTGGGTCTGTTGGAAGAGAATTATTTATTTTTTTCTGTAATTTTTATTGAGATTTGGAGGAATTGGGATAGTGGAGAAATCCCCATTTTTTTGGGGGGAGATTTTTAGCTGGACTTTAAAAGGATAAACCCCAGTTTTTGGCTCAAGGAAATATTTTAAAGATTCTTGAGTCTCATACATGTTGGAGGAATCTGGGAATGTTGAAATAAGTTGGGAATATTTGATTTGGAATATAAATTGAAATAAATAAAGGGAATATTGAAATAAATTCCCCCCTGGAGTGGATTAACTCCATCCCAAGGATGTTCAATGTCGGGGGACAAATTCTCTTGTTTCCTCATATTCCAAGGGATAATCCAGGATTTTGGTTTTCACCATCAAGTGCTAGCAAAGCCAAATTTTCTCTCATGATCCCTGCGAGGATCAGCTCTATTTCCCTAAAAAACATCCCTGGGAAGGCGATACCAGCCCGAAAAACGGGAGTGGTGTCCCCTCCCCAAACCCCGTGTGTGTCACCAGGATTGCGTGTCCCCGATGCTCCCGAGGGTGGCACCGGGGCCGGGATGGGAGAGGCCGCGAGATAAGAGCTCGTCATGGGTGATAAGGGGGTTTGAGAGGGGATGGGGTGTGAGGAAGGGATGGGGAGCCCGGATTTCCTCCTGTGCTGGCAGCGGGAGCTCACGGACACGGCCCGGGGTGGGCAGGGGGTGTCAGAGCCCGAATCTGTGCTGGGGAAGGGGCAGTGATGGAGAGCTGAGCCCGTCCCTTCGTTCCTGCTCTCCACACAGCCTGGATCCACGGAAAAGCTGATCCCATGCTCTGTGATCCCTTGTCTCCAACACAACCCTGGTCCCTCAGAGGGGCTGAGCCCATCCCTTTGTTCCTGCTCTCCACACAATCCCAGATCCATGGAAAGCTGATCCCATGACTCTGTGATCCCTTGTCTCCAACACAACCCTGGTCCCTTGGAAAGGCTGAGCCCATCCCTTTGTGCTCCAGCACTGCCGGCCTCCCTGAGCCCTTCCCTGTGGATCTCCAGCAGAAAAGGCTGGTGGAGAGATGAGACCCTGTGGGTCTCCAACCCCTGGAGAGGCTGATCCCACCCCATCACCTGTTCTCGGCACAAATGGACCCCCTGAGTCCATTCCTGTGGTTTCCACCAGAACTGCAGCCCCTGTAGAGGCTGATCCCACCTGGACACAGGTGGAGACCCTGAGCTCATCCCTGGGGGTCTTCAGCCCGTGGAGAGGCTGATCCCACCCCTGTACCTGTCCTGGGCACAGGTGGAGACCCTGAGCCCATCCCTGGGGGTCTCCAGCCCATGAAGAAGCTGATCCCACCCCATCACCTGTCCTGGGCACAGGTGGGGACCCCTGAGCCCATTCCTGTGGTTTCCACCAGAAGTGCAGCCCATGGAGAGGCTGATCCCACCTGGGCACAGGTGGAGACTCCTTTGTGCCCATCCCTGTGGGTCTCCAGGACATGGAGAGGCTGATCCCAACCCCATCACCTGTCCTGGGCAAAGGTGGAGACCCTGAACCCATTTCTGTGGATCTCCAGCCCATGGAGCAGCTGATCCCACCTGGGCACCTTGTCCTGGGCACAGGTGGAGACCCTGAGCCCATTCCTGTGGTTTTCCATCAGAACTGCAGCCCATGAAGAAGCTGATCCCACCTGGACACCTGTCCTGGCACAGGTGCCCCCCTGTCCCCCCCCTGTCCCCTCCACCCCCAGCCCATCCGGACTCCCAAATGTCTCAGCCCATCCCGGCCGCCCCCCCGCCCTCCCCCGGTGTTTTTTTAACCCTTTTGCCGGCAGCAAATCCCCCTAAATCCGCTCCGGCCCCTCGGCCCCGCCGGGATTATCCCGATTCCCTCCATCAGCATTCCCGCGGCGCCGGGAGGGTCCCGCCGAGTCGGCAAAACCCCCCCGGGTCCGTGGGGTGGGCAAAAAAATAGGGGGAAAAGGGGATGGGGGGGATCCCGTGGGGATTTAGGGGAGTTCACAGGTGAGGGATTGCCCGGAATGGCAAAATTCGGGCAAAATCCAACAGATTTAGGAAAAAAAATTAATATTTATGTTGATTTTTTGGGGTTTTTTTAAAGTGTGATTTCTGGTTTTGGCTTTCTGGGTGCTTCTGGGATTTACTCTTTTGGTGACTTTAAAAATTATTTTTACATTTCTACATTTCTGTGCTTTATTTTTCCTTTCTTTTTATTTTTTAATTTTATTTTTTCCCATTTTCTTCAATTTTCTATGTACTTTTTATGCATTTTTTCATACTGTTTTTTTTTTTTTTTCCCATTTTTGGTCACTTTCCCCAACATTTTCATAATACTTTTATTTTTTTTTACAGGAACAACAAGAGGGATTGCATTTTCCATGCACTTTTTAGGATTTTAGTGATTTTAAAAGGATTTTTAAATACGAATTTGGGGGGGAATGGGGGTTTTGGGTGGGCACATGTAGGTGTGTGCACTGAGGTACAGCCGTGCACCCCTCACACATTGGTGTGCACACAGACACAGCCATTGCACACTCATCAGGTGTGCAAAGCCTTGCAGCACATACAGAGGCACAGAACCCCTTGCACACTCACACACAGGCAGGAGTGCATGGCCTTGCACACTCGCAGGGACACAAACATGCCACTGACATGCTGTGCACACACAGTGACACACATAGAGCTGTGCACACACCCCCTGTGCTCACACTCACACTCACAGTGACACACATGGAGCTGTGCACACTCACACACACACACTCACACTCAGACACTCTCACAGTGAGACTGAGAGTGTCACACCCGCCACATGTGCAGTTCCATGCAGGCCTGTGTTTGCACACACACTGACACACGTGTGTGCACGGTGACACAGACACACACACTTGCACAAGGACACACAGACTCACAGAGACACACACAGACACAAGGACAGACGGACAGACAGACACATACAAACACAGACACAGATTGAGAAACACACAGACACACTCACACAGGCACAAGGACAGACACACAAACACAGACATACAGACACACGGACACAGATGCAGACACAGACACACATACACACACACACACAGACAGACATACAGACACACGGACACTCTCACACAGGACATTCTCACACGGACACACAGACACACACTCTCACTCTCACACAGACACACGGACACTCTCACACTGTGTCACACACACACTCTCACGCTCACTCAGACACATGGACAGACGTATGGACATGCAGATACACAGACACTCCCACACTTTCACACAGTCACGTAGACAGACGGACACTCAAACTCACACACACACAGACAGACGGACACTCACACAGACACACACAGAGTTTCACACTCACACACACACAGACACGGACCCTCTCACCCTCTCACACTGTCACACAGACGCATGGACAGACAGACAGACACACAGACACGGACACTCTCACACTGTGTCACACACACTCACAAAGAGACACAGACAGACAGACGGACAGACAGACACACACACACACACAGACAGACACACAGACGGACACACACACACAGACAGACACACACACAGACACACAGACAGACAGACAGACAGACAGACACACACACAGACGGACACACGGACGGACACACAGACGCACGGACACACGGACGCTCCCTCTGTCTCGGACCCTCCCGCTCCCGTCCCCTCCCCCGCCGCCCACGTGCAGCCCCGCACGCGCCGCCGGCCCCCGCGCGCCCCCTCCCACGCCCCCCCATCCGCGGCCCCTCGGCCCCGCCCCCCCGCGCTGGCCCCGCCCCCTAACTCGCACCACCCAATGAGCGCCGTAGCCACGTACCGCCCCCACCCTGACCACGCCCCCCGCCTCACGCCGCCCAATGAGCGCCGCTGCTTTGCGCCGCCCCCGCCCGCGCTTTAAGCGGCTCCAATGCCCGGGCGGCGGCCGCGCCTCCGCCCCGCTGCTCAGAGCACCGCGCGCCCCGCGCCTCAGCGCCCCGGCCCCGCCGATCGCCCGCCCGCCCTCACGGCCCCGGCTCCGGCCCCGCCATGGACACCGGCAGCAAGGTGAGCCCGCGCCGCCGGGATCGCTCTGCGTTACGCAACCCCCGCCCGCCCCCGCACACGCGCGGCCGCCGCGATCGCAGCGTTTCGCTTTATTTTGTCCCCTCAGCCCCAGCGCAGCGCTCCCCACAGAGCGGCCGGTGCCGGCTCCGCGCCTCGCAGCGCGCCCGGCCGCCGCTCCCGGGCTGTCCTCGAAAGGCGGAAACGCGGCGGGCAGACACGATCCTTTTGACCCCGTTTCGGGACGAGGGGAGGCCCCAGAGCCCAGCGAGGGCCGGGCTGGCTTTGGGGGGCTGCGGGGTTGGGGAGAGCCCGCCGGGACCCCGCGATCCCCGCCGGGCTGGGCACATCCCGCCCGCAGCTGCTGACCCAATTCCCATTAATTTATCCCAGACTGTGGAGTTGTTAAATACTCATAGCTCTCCCGGCCGCTCGGGGATCCACCAGCACCCTCCTCATGCTAAATTAATTAATTTAGATTTAATTTGGGGGGGGTAAAAGCCCGGAACGATGCCGGTGGTTGATTGTAACAGGTCACTGACCTCAGCCCCACTTGCTTCATTCCAACCACCAAAGTATTTCCGTCCCCAATACTCCCGTCTGGGAATAGCTGGAATAAATCCAAGTGGTTTGGGATTTTTTTTTTCGAGGGGGAGGATGTGTTAGGAAATTGGCTGCGTGGCGGCACGAAGTGTAATTAATCCCCAAAAATCGCGATTTTTATCCTAATTAAAGATGCGACGGGAGCGATCCCTCTTGGTGTTTATTTCCCCCTTTCAAAACAACTCCCTCTCCCCCCCTCCTCCTCCGCATGAAGCACACAATTCTCTTAAATTTAAGGAGCTATATCTGTTTAAATATGTATTTATAGTGTATTTTTTGGGGTTCCGGGCTGTTTTGCGGTGGGGTTGGGGTGGGAGCCGGGAACGTGCGGGCCGGCAGCGCGGTGATGGGGGCAGGAATTAAACGCAAATTTGGTCTCATACCCAAGAAATCCGACGCATTTAACTCCCGGCATCCCGAACGGAGCCCGAGCCGCGCTCCCGCTGCTCTCCCAGCTCCGCAAACCCCCCCGCCCTTGCATGGATTTGGGTTAGAAATGATTAATTTTCGTAAAGGTAATTAATCTCGAGGATGATTTGCCGAGCGCTGATGGGTGACATTTCCATCCCCAGCGTGTTTTGCGTGGAAAAAAATAAAAGATATTTTTCATGGAAGCAGCTTGTGGTTGCGAGATGGGGAGACAAACTCCCCTCCCGAACCCGCTTTATATTTAATAATTAATATTATTAACGTGATTAACCCGGGATGTGTGTCTGTGTGAGGGGGGGACATTGCACATTCCGTGTGGTTTTTTTCCAGCTCGTTCCATGCAAAATCCCCTCCCGTGCTGGTCGCGGTTGCAAAACTCGCCGCGATTGTGTCGCCGTCCCTGGATGACCTTTAAGTAGGGAAGCAAAACAAAAAAAAAAAAACCAAATTCCGCCGCTCCGCTGCTCCTTCCCACCCCCCCGGTTCTCTTTCCCCACGGGGGCTGGTGTGACCCCCAAATTCTCTGGGTTTAGATCCCCTCCCGTGGGTTTGGAGCGGATTTTCCCGGTTTTTAGTGGGGGTGTGAGGTTTTCCCGGGTGTTATCCGTGTGCCCTGGCTCCTATGAGTGTGCAAATGAGTGTGCAAGGGCTGCACTGAATGCCCACATTCCCTCTGTGTCCCCTCAGGAGCAGTGGCTGCTCCTTAAAAATCCCCCTGCATCATTTTAATCGTGTATTTTTCATGTGGGTTTGCCCAAAATCCCTCCTTTCTAACCATTATTTGGATTTTTCGGGGATTACTAATTGTTCTTGTTCCATAGCATCCTGAAATCTTCCATGCTGGAGTAAAAAGAAAACCAACAGGATATCCTCCTGGGACCCTTTTTTTCCCTGTTGTTGCTGATTTGATTTTAGAGAATTCATTAGTTCCCTTGATGCACGAAACAATCAGCGTGCCAAAATTCCCCAAGTCCTCCTGCACTGGAGTAAAATAACTTGAAATTCCCTTCTGGGACGCTTTTTTTAGTATTATTTAGAAGGAATTATGAATTCCTTGTTTTTCGTGAGGCAGCAGCATCCCAAAATCCTCCATGTTGGAGTGAAAAAAGTTGAAATTCCCTGCTGGGCCACTAATTTAAATACCTTTATATCAATATTTTGGTATTATTATTTTGCTTTTAAAGGGATTATTCATTCCTTTGATCCATGAGGTGGATCTCAAAGTCCTTCCAGGCTGGAGGGTGAAATAAAAAGGTTAAAAATAGAGTTGTAAAGCCAAAGGCAGCGGGTTTGGGGGGCCCCTGGTGCCCCCCCAGATCCTCCTCAGAGCGTCCTGGCTTCCGTGTTGGAGCTGGAGAGGAAGCAGGAAGCAGCCAAAAAGAAAACAAAATATTATAAATTTATTAAAAACCTGTCTTTCCTATCACATAGAGCAATTCTTAGGCATAAAACCAGGAGTTTGGGGTCTAGCCGTGCTTAAATAAATTTATTTTATGGAAACAAGAGGGAATTTGTCCCCAAAATTCCTGATAAAGATGCTTTTTCCTGCAAGGAGTTAAAAAAAAAAAAAAAATCTCCCCACAGCCCCACGTGAGGTTTGGCAGGAGCTGCCTGGGCAAAGCTGCCCTTAAAAATCGACTTTTCCCTTTATTTAATTATTTCCCCCCCACCTTAAAGTTGCCTTTAATGGCGAAGTTCAGGCTGAAAGGATCCGGGATCCGAGCAGGGCAGCGAGTTTGGGCTGGGGAGGGAGGGGGAAGGAGCTGACTCACCCTGACCCTGCTCGGGACGAGCCTCCAAAATGCGATTTTCCTGCCAGCTTTTCCTTTTCCTATGCCCAAACTGCTGGAATGCAATGAAAATACAATTTTTTTTCCCTGAAATTTAATCTATTTTTGGCTTTTTTTTTTAGCCTTTTTTCTAAATGTTAAAATAAAAAAATTTTTTTTTTTTTTTTTTTTTTTAGATTTTAAAATATTTTTAAAATTTTTTTTTTTTTTTTTGCATCAAGCTGTTGTTACCTCTCACCTTCCTGGAGCAAAGTTCACCTGGCTGCCGCATCCCCATCCCCGGAGCCATGACTCACCTGGGCCTGCCCTACCCTGCCAGCTCCTGGGGTGCCCTTTAGCCAGGAAAAAAATCAAATTCAGCACCCAAACACACCGGGCTGACCCCCCAAAAACAAAGAGAAATCTCCCAATCCCCCACAAACCCACTTGTTTTTTAATGAGGTTTCCCCAAGCAACAGGTGCTTTTGACATCCTGGTTTTTTGGGGATTTGTTGGAATGTTTAGGGCTTTTTTTGTCCTTTTTTTTTGAGGACATCACCAAATTCCCAGCCTGTTTGTGCCCTCCCAACCACGGAGGTGTTTTCTCCTCTACTCCGAAGCAAATCCAAGCGCCAAAACCTCCCTGATTAGTTGTGTTGGGGCCAAGCCTAATTAATGAGCTTCATTAACGGGCCTGGCTTCATTCCCTCTGCTTTTCCCCTGGGAACTTTCACGCGGGAGGGAGGAGAGTGGCGAGGTCAGGGAGCGGCATTAAATCCTTTATTTATTAAAAGAAATAGGAGATTTGGTTCTTAAATATTAAAAATATCCCTTTTGGGGAGGGAGTTTGAGTCACCTCCCCTCATTTAGACGGGATCTGAGGCGTCGATCCTTTGGGAATATCAACCCTGGCAGCATCCTTGGTGTTTAGGGAGGACCCCCCCCCTCAGCACCCCCCCCCTCAAATTAAAGGGGTTTACCCCCCCTCAGCACCCCCCCCCCCAAATTAAAGGGGTTTATCAATTTCACGTGGCCCGTCCCAAAGCTGATTAGGCGGGAATGTCGGATCCTGGTCCGAGCGAGCGCCGGGAAAATCTCCTGCCCGGGATAATTGGGCCGCTAACGAAGGTGGCCCGAGCGCTGGCCTGCCCTGACCCCGCTCCCGAACAAGGCTCTGATTGTTGCCGTGGCTCAGGCGGGAGGAAGAGGAGGCTGGGGAAGGAAGGCTTTGCCAGCTAAACCCGGGTTTTGCTCAGTGACTCTTAATTAGACGGCCATGGGAAGCTGCTGTTGGTGCGGCTCCCCGGAGCATCCTGCTGGCCCAGACCCCATGGTCACCTCCAGCGCTCAAATTCCTGGAATCCCCATAACTGTGGCGTTTTTTAACCCCCCCAAAATGACATTTTTTGTAATTATTTTTTTTCCCTCTTAGCACTAAAAACAGTGAGTTTTCGCTTTGGTTCTGAATATTTGTACTCGCCGCCTTCGCAGTGTCCTGTGCAGTGCCCTGGTATCGCTGTGCTGGGGAAAGAGAACTGTGGATTTAACCCCTTTTTCCTTGTTTTGGTCCTGTATTGCTGTGCTGGGGGAGACAGGGCTGTGGGGATCCCAGATTTAATCCTTTTCCCTGTTTTTGTCCTGTATTGCTCTGTTGGAGGAGACAGGGATCCCAGATTTTGCCCTTTTTTCCCTGTTTTTGTCCTGTGTAGTGCCCTGGTATCGCTCTGGTTGGGAGACAAGGCTGTGGGGATCCCTGCTTTAACCCCTTTTCCCCTGTTTTTGTCCCATGCAGTGCCCTGGGCTTCAGGGATCCCAGGTTTAACCCTTTGCCCCATGCAGTGCCCTGGTATCGCTGTGCTGGGGAAAGAGAACTGTGGATTTAACCCTTTTCCCCTGTTTTTGTCCTGTGCAGTGCCCTGGTATCGCTGTGCTGGAGGAGACAGGGCTGCAGAGATCCCAGATTTAACCCCTTTTTCCTGTTTTTGTCCTGTATTGCTCTGTTGGAGGAGACAGGGATCCCAGATTCTGCCCTTTTTCCCCCTGTTTTTTGTCCTGTATTGCTCTACAGGGCTGTGAGGATCCTAGGTTTAACCCTTTTTTTCCTGCTGGGGAGACAGGGCTGCAGGGATCCCAGATTTAACCCTTTGCCCCATGGAGTGCCCTGGTATTGCTGTGCTGGGGAGACAGAACTGTGGATTTAACCCTTTTCCCCTGTTTTTGTCCTGTATTGCTGTGCTGGGGATACAGGGCTGTGGGGATCCCAGATTTGACCCCTTTTCCCTGTTTTTGTCCCATACAGTGCCCTGGTATTGCTCTGCTGGGGAGATCCCACATTTAACCCCTTTTTCCTGTTTTTGTCCTGTATTGCTCTGTTGGAGGAGACAGGGATCCCAGATTTAACCCTTTGTCCCATGCAGCACCCTGGCATTGCTGTGCTGGAGAGGCAGGTCTGCAGGATCCCAGATTTAACCCCTTTTTCCCTGTTTTTTGTCCTGTATTGCTCTACAGGGGAGACAGGGCTGTGAGGATCCCAGATTTAACCCCTTTTTCCCTGCTGGGGAGATAGGGCTGCAGGGATCCCAGATTTAACCCTTTGTCCCATGCAGTGCTCTGGTATTGCTCTGCTGGGGGAGACAGGGCTACGAAGATCCCAGACTTAACTCTTTTCCTTGGTGGGGAGACAGGGATGTGGGGATCCCTGATTTAACCCCTTTTTCCCTATTTTTGTCCCATGCAGTGCCCTGAGCTGCAGGGATCCCAGATTTAACCCTTCTCCCTATTTTTGTGCTGTGCAGTGCCCTGGTATCACTCTGCTGGGGGAGACAGGGCTGTGGGGAACCCAGATTTAACATTTTTCCCCTGTTTTTGTCTTTTATTTCTCTGCTGGGGGAGTCAGGGCTGTAGGGAACCTAGATTTAACCCCTTTTCCCCTGCTGAGGGAGACAGGGCTGTGGACTCCCAGATTTAACCCTTTTTCCTGGTTTTGTCCTGTGTGGTGCCCTGGGCTGTGGGGATCCCTGATTTACCCCTTTTTCTGTGTTTTTGTGCTGTGCAGTGCCCTGGTATTGCGCTGGAGGGGAAACAGGGCTGTAGAGATCCCAGATTGAACCCTTTTCCCCCATTTTTGTGCTATGCAGTGCCCTGGGCTGTGAGGATCCCAGATTTAACCCCTTTTTCCCTGTTTCTTTGTCCTATGGAGTGCCTTGGTATTGCTGTGCTGGGGATACAGAGCTTCAGGATCCCAGATTTAACCCTTTTTCCTTGTTCTTGTCCCATGTAGTGCCCTGAGCTACAGGGATCCCAAATTTAACCCTTTTTGCCTGTTTTTATCCCATGCAATGCTTTGGTACACTCTGCTGGGGATACAGAGCTTCGGGATCCCAGATTTATCCCTTTTTCCCGTTTTTGTGCCCTGGGCAGCAGGAATCCAAAATTTAACCCTTTTCCCCCATTTTTTGTGCTGTGCAGTGCCCCGGTATCACTCTGCTGGGCACACAGGTCTGCAGGATCCCAGATTTAACCCTTTTTTCCCCGTTTCCTGGCAGATGACGGCTCGCCTGATGCTGGCTGTGGGAGGAGCCGTGCTGGGCTCGCTGCAGTTCGGGTACAACACCGGCGTCATCAACGCCCCGCAGAAGGTGAGTGCTCCCAGAGGGAAATTCCAGCCTCCCCCAGCTCGTGTCTGACAACAAACCAGCCTCTGTGCCAGCCTGGCTAAAATAGTACATCCCACTAGGCAGCTTAAGGCTCTAATGGGATTTCAGAGGGAGTTATTTAGCTCCAGCCTTCCCTGGAGAATTTGTTTCCTCCTCCTTGCTTGGTGTGTTTTTTTTTTTTTTTTTGTTGGGGGAAATAAATCCCAGCACTGCCTGCAGGATGCTGTGTCTGGGTGTGGCCAGTGGAACTTTTCACCTCGGCTCTCTTAGTGAAGGTCTGGGAGTTAATTAAGGTTTGAGTCATCCCCAAGTGGCTGCTCTGACCAGAGCTGGGGGTTTTGCATCCCAGCTGGGAGCAGGATGGAGTGCAGGAGTGGTGGTTCCTCCCCTCATGTACATGGCCCATGGAAAACATGGCTTTTCCCACATTTGGTGGCTTTCATAGCCAGGACCCTCTTGCTGCTGGTAGATACTGGTGGTCCATGGAAAACATGGCTTTTTCCAGATTTGGTGGCTTTTACAGCCAGGACCTTCCTGCTGCTGGTAGATACCAGTGGTCCATGGAAAATGTAACTTTTCCCACATTTGGTGGCTTTCATAGCCAGGACCCTCCTGCTGCTGGTAGATATTGGTGGTCCACAGAAAACTTTTCCCACATTTGGTGGCTTTCATAGCCAGGACCCTCCTGCTGCTGGTAGATACCAGTGGTCCATGGAAAATGTGACTTTTCCCACATTTGGTGGCTGTTTGAGGTCTTGAACACATGGAAAAGAAGCTCAGGATTGCAATGTGGTGCTTGCAGTGTTCCCTGGGCACAGCTCTTGTGCTGGGATGAGGTGTGGAGGGACAGCTTGAGCTCTGTCCCCAAATGCCATCACCCCAATCCAGCTGCCAGGGTTTAATCCCATCCCAGTGAGTCCTTCTGGAATGTCACCACAGGCATTGGGAAAACTCCTTGTGGGATAGAAGACCCTGTGGAAAAAGTCAGTGTGGGAAGAGGAAAAAAGGCAGGGATTTGTTCAAGGCGTTGCATTATTGAATCCCAGGTTCAGTTTCTGGGGTTAAAGCTGCAGCTCCTCCCAACAGAACCTGCTGGAGACCTGAAATATCCCAAATTCTCCTTGCTCCACATGCACTGAGGCGAGGGATGGCCCTTTTTGGATGGCCATGGAGCAGCCCTGGAGCTGGGAATCCCTGGCATGGCTCTGAGGAGCTGCTCCCCAGGATCTGCCCTCACTTTCCCCAGCCCTGGCACTGAGGGAGGAGGGAATGCTGTGATCCCCACCCTGCTCAGAGCCACATCCCAGGAGTTTTGTAGCTTTGTTCCCTGGCCTGGAGAGGCTCTCCATGCTCTCCCTGCAAATTCAGACACTCCTGATGGTGTTGCCACAGTTTTTGGGGATGAATTATAGGAATGTGCCTTCTGTTGATGGAGAGACAAAATTCTCTTTTGTCCCCTTAAAAAGAAAATAAGCCCAGAAGTTTCTCTCCTTGATTAGGTGAAAAAGTCATCTGATAAGCTTGAGGGACTAAGGATAACCAATTGGACAGAAGCCAAAAAGTCCCACCTGAACAATTTACTAGAAAAAGGAGAGAGAGCAAAGAAACAAAACTTTAGCGATGTGTTTTACCAGGAGCAAGAACCTCTTGCACATGACTGAGTTTTTCTCTGCGAAGAGTTTTGTTACTTTGTCTTTTATTGAAACTTTTTTGTTTCCAACACTGGAAACAAAAAGTTTCCAGTGGGGATTTTGTTTATCTCCAAAGACAGCTGAGCTATCTCTTGAAGTGGCAACTATTGCTGTGAATCCCTTGGGCTCAGGCCAGGAGGAGGCACAGGGGGCAGGACAAGTCCCCAGTGTTGAGGGGAAGGATTTGGGGTGCTCAGGGGGAGGTGGGATGGGGGTTTGCTGGGCACAGGGGGTGATCCCAGCCTTAAGGATGGGGACACAAAGTGTGGAATTGGGGTAGGGACACTGTGCAGGGCTGGGATAAACTGGGGCACACTGGGGATGCATGGAGTGCAGGGTTGGGACAGGAATGCCTTGGGGTGCATTGAGGATGGGGATTCAGTGGGATAAAATTAAGTGAAGGGTTGGGATGAGGATGCACCGAGATCCATCAGGGCACGGGTTTGGGATGCACTGGTTTGGGATTCATGGAGCTGCAGGGTGGGGATGAATCACAACACTCAGCTGAAAGCCCCAGTTTTGGTGAAAACAATTTTTATTCCTTCACCCTTCTCCCTTTAAACCCATTTTTCACCTCTTTTCCTCTCCCAAAAAACCCTTGAGTCCTTCAAAGCATTTTCCCTTTTTTCCAGGAGGGGCTGTTATTTTCAGATACCCCCTGGGCCTGCTGAGAGCCTGAGCCAGCCCAATTATTTTCCAATAATCCAATCAATTATTTATTTTGGGAATAGTGGTAAAAGGGGAAAAAGCATCCAAACCCCTGGGTGAAAACAGGAGGGAACAAAATCACTTCAATATGGAAATTGTAACAATTTCTGTGCTTTGGAAGAGGAACAACTTGACAAAATAATGATACTGTTGAGACTTGTACCCAGCCCAGTGTAAATTTCTTGTGCTGTCTCTGCCAGGGCTCCTGTTTGGGCTTGGATTGATGGGAAAAGTGGAAAATGAAGCACAGTGGTGTAAATAGTGAATTGGGAGTGGAGCCATTCAGAGCAGCAAAATCTTGGAGCCAGCTTGGAGCAAAGCAGGGAATCTCTGGAATTTCTGCTCCTTCCCAGCTGGGTTTGGTGGGGTGTTAAGGAGCTCTTTGCTGTGGTGGTTTGGGGGTGGGTGACCCTTAAATCATGGTGTTCTAAAGGATTTGGATTGGGAGGAACCTTCAGAGGGTCATTTAGGGCATTTTCCCAGCCATGGGCAGGGACAGGAGCTTGGTGAAGCTATTTTAAAAATAAAGCAAAACTATACAAAATGTATATATTTTTTATATGTATATATATATGTAATGGTTTAAAAATACATCAAAAGTATACAAAATGTATATATTTTATATATGTATATATATGTTATGGTTTGATGCTGGTACAATGCCAGTGCCCCCAGGAAGCACAGCATCTCAAAAAATTCAAACTTTTCCAAACTTCCTTTTCCAACCAGGACACTATACGAATTTTTTGTCTTAAAATTTTTTATATGCAAAAGTTTTGCGTATAAAAAAGATGGAAAATTTATATAAAACCACCTGAAATTCACAAACCAGGCTGTTCTTAGTGTTTCAAACCAAGGGCTGTCTTGGCATCACGATCCTGCAGAACCACGGGAGAGATTGTGTGTTATGGAATTCTTGGGGGAGGAAAGACCTGGAAATCCAACTCCAGGAGTATCCAAGGGGGCTAGTGATGGGGTAGCTTTTAAAATACAGCAAAAGTACAGCAAAAGTATTTATTTTTTATATATGTATATATGTGTCATGGTTTGATGCTGGTGCAGTGCAAGTGCCCCCAAGGAGCACAGCATCCCAAAAAATTCAAAATTTTCAAAACTTCCTTTTCAAACCAGGACACTATACAAATTTTTTGTATACAAACATTTTGTGTTTAAAAAGATGAAAAATTTATATAAAACCACCTAAAATTCACAAACCAGGCTGTTCTTGGTGTTCCAAACCAAGGCCGGCATTGGGTGTTGGCATCATGGTCCTGCAGAACCACGGCAGAGATTGTGTGTTATGGAATTCTTGGGGGAGGAAAGACCTGGAAATCCAATTCCAGGAGTATCCAAGGGGGCTAGTGATGGGGTAGCTTTAAAAATACAGTAAAAGTATACAAAATGTATATATTTTATATATATATATATATATATATATATATATATGTCATGGTTTGATGCTGGTGCAATGCCAGTGTCCCCAGGGAGCATGGCACCCCAAAAACTCAAACTTTTCAAAACTTCCTTTTCAAACCAGGACACTATATGAAAGTTTTGTATATAAAAAGTATTGTATACACAAATTTTGTGTTTAAAAAGATGCAAAGCTTATATAAACCTACCTAAAATTAACAAACCAGGCTGTTCTTGGTGCTGCAAACCAAGGCCTGTGTTGGCATCCCGGTCCTGCAGAACCACGGGAGAGATTGTGTGTTATGGAATTCTTGGGGAGGAAAAACCTGGAAATCCAACTCCAGAGGAGTATCCAAGATTGTGTTCTATGGAATTCTTGGGGAGGAAAAACCTGGAAATCCAACTCCAGGAGTATCCAAGATTGTGTGCTATGGAATTCTTGGGGGGGCACAACCTGGAAATCCAACTCCAGGAGTATCCAAGATTGTGTGCTATGGAATTCTTGGGGGGGCACAACCTGGAAATCCAACTCCAGGAGTATCCAAGGGGATGGGAGCTGCCCCGTGTTCCTCCCCTTGCTCCGCGGGGCCGGCGCATCTGTGGCTCCTGCCCTGCCCTGGGGAGCAGCGTGACCTCCCCGTGCCTGCCCGGCCAGTTTGGCTCCCTCCCTCCCTCCCTCTCTCCGGGCAGGGCGAGCCCAGAACCCGTCGGGCTGCATTTCCCAGTGGATCCCAGCAGTTCCTCCCTTGGCCAGCGGCTCCGGTGACGCATTGTCTTGTGAGAGACTCGTCCCTCCGGTGGCGCGGCCTTGACGCGCGGTTTGGTTTCCCTCCTTGTTCTCCAGGTGATTGAGGACTTCTACAACCTCACGTGGCTGAACAGATACGGGGAGCCCATCAGCCCTGCCACCCTCACCACGCTCTGGTCCCTCTCCGTTGCCATCTTCTCTGTCGGGGGCATGATCGGCTCCTTCTCCGTGGGGCTCTTTGTCAATCGCTTTGGAAGGTGAGCTCCGAGCCTGGTGGATCCTGCAGTGGGGAGGCTCTGCTGCCTCACCCACCCTGGTGCTCCACAGGCTGACCTTGGGGTTCTTGCAGTGTTCCTCACCTGCTTCTCCTGGTGTTCCTCACTTGGTTCTCCTGATGTTCCTCTCCTGGTGTTCCTCACCTTGTTCTCTCCCAGTGTTCCTCACCTGGTTCTCCTGGTGTTTCTCCCCTGGTGTTCCTCACCTGGCTCTCTCCCGGTGTTCCTCACCTGGTTCTCTCCTGGCGTTCCTCACCTTGTTGTCCTGGCGTTCCTCTCCTGGTGTTCCTCACCTGGTTCTCCTGGTGTTCCTCACCTGGTGTTCCTCACCTGGTTCTCCCCTGGTGTTCCTCACCGCTCTCCTCCATCTCTCTCCAGGCGCAATTCCATGCTGATGTCCAACATCCTTGCCTTCGTGTCAGCTGTGCTCATGGGCTTCTCCAAGATGGCTTTCTCCTTTGAGATGCTCATCCTGGGCCGCTTCATCATCGGCCTCTACTCCGGCCTCACCACAGGTTTCGTGCCCATGTACGTGGGCGAGGTGTCACCTACTGCCCTGCGGGGGGCCCTGGGCACCTTCCACCAGCTTGGCATCGTGCTGGGCATCCTCATTGCACAGGTGAGCACTGGGGAAGGTTTTTGGTCCTTTTTTTTTTTTCTGACACTCCTAAGGACCTGCAAGGATGAGGTGCTGTGGATCTGAGCTGGGGTGGGAGGGGTGAAGCTGGAGCTCAGCAGGAGCAGGGATGTGTGGAATCTGAAGGTTTGGGATGGGTGGCATCAGGTTATCAACATCTCTTGGCCAGCTGGAAGCAGCACAGGAGTCCCTCCAATGGCTGTTCCAGCTTGGAGCACACCATGAGCTGCACAGTTGTGTCCAACCAGGACTATTCCAGCTGGGATGGGTGGCTCAACTCTTCTGCTCCTCCTCAGGTGTTTGGTTTGGACTTGATCATGGGAAACGAGTCTCTGTGGCCGCTGCTGCTGGGCTTCATCTTCGTCCCTGCGCTGCTGCAGTGCATCATCCTGCCCTTCGCCCCCGAGAGCCCCCGCTTCCTGCTCATCAACCGCAACGAGGAGAACAAAGCCAAGAGCGGTGAGTGACCCCTCTGCAGGGCCCATCCTGGCACTCTGCAGGGTCCCTGACATCTCCTGACCCCCACCTCTCCCTCTCAGTCCTCAAGAAGCTGCGAGGCACGACGGACGTGAGCAGCGACCTGCAGGAGATGAAGGAGGAGAGCCGGCAGATGATGAGGGAGAAGAAGGTGACCATCATGGAGCTGTTCCGCTCGCCCATGTACCGCCAGCCCATCCTCATCGCCATCGTCCTGCAGCTCTCCCAGCAGCTCTCAGGGATCAACGCGGTGAGCCTGGCTGGGGTCTCGATGCCAGGGGTCAGCTTGCTTCACCCAGAGCTCCAGGACTGACTTGTAGGTCTCCCTGCTCTTTGTAGGTCTTCTACTACTCCACCAGCATCTTTGAGAAGTCGGGGGTGGAGCAGCCTGTCTATGCCACCATTGGCTCTGGCGTGGTGAACACAGCCTTCACGGTGGTCTCGGTGAGTTTGGCCCCTCCAGGGTCTCTCCGGGGAAGGTGGGAGGTGCAGGGGCCTTTCCTGCAGGCTGGCAGGTGCTGATGGATCTTGTCCATCCCACAGCTCTTCGTGGTGGAGCGAGCCGGACGCAGGACCCTGCACCTCATTGGGCTGGCAGGGATGGCTGGGTGTGCCATTCTCATGACCATCGCCCTCACGCTGCTGGTGAGTGCTGGGGAGGCTGGGAGGAGGAGGAGGAGGGATGGCTGGGGAGGAGGAAGGACTTATTCCTCCTTGAAGTGATGGCTGAGCATTCAGTCCCCATTGTCACATCTCTCCTGAGCTTCTAGAATTCCATCTTCCAGCTCATGGCTCCTGTGCCAGCACCAGCTGAGGTGCCCAGGCGCCATATCCCCTTCACAGCACCAACCTTCCCCCTCTCCCCTGTTCTAGGACCAAATGCCCTGGATGTCCTACCTCAGCATCGTGGCCATCTTTGGGTTTGTGGCCTTCTTTGAGATCGGCCCAGGCCCCATCCCGTGGTTCATCGTGGCCGAGCTGTTCAGCCAAGGGCCCCGTCCTGCTGCCTTTGCCGTGGCCGGGCTCTCCAACTGGACCTCCAACTTCATCGTGGGCATGGGCTTCCAGTACATTGCGGTAATGATGGCTGGGAGCGCTGGGGGAGTGGGGCATGGCACTGGGGACACAGGGAGCTGGAGGTCCCAGAGGATCCCAGAACTCCCAGGGGAGTCTCAGTCCCAGCCTGTCAGACTGTGTTGGTTCAGGTGGATCCAGATCCCAGTTCTGCATCAGGGATGGAAAGAGTGTCCAACTGGATCTCTGTGCCAGACTCCAGTACTGCTGGATCCTCCTGCCAAATCCAAATCCCAGGTCTGCTTGCTGGTTCCTGGTGCTGGATCCCATTGATGGATCCTCCTGCCAAATCCCAGATCTGGTTGCTGGTTCCTGGTGCTGGCTCTCATTGCCAGATTTTGGTGTGGAATCCTGGTGTCAGATCTTGGTGCCAAATCCTGCTGCTGGATCCAGTGTTGAATTCCAGGGCCACATTCTTCAGCCCTAAAACCCAGGCTGAGGTGGTTTGGTTGGGTTAAGATCCCTTGGGAAGAAGGACTTGAGGCTGGAGCAGGAGCTTGACTCAGTGTTTCTTGTGGAACTTGAGATGTTCCTTGAAAGTAGCACCTGGGTTTTGGATAGCCATGGCATGGTGTGGGCAGGGTGGTACCAGCTGGTCCTTCCACCATGGCCAGAGATGGGAATGGAGCTGGGGAAGGTCTGGAGCCACCAGGAGCTGCTGGAGGGGCTCAGCCTGGAGAAGAGGAGGCTCAGGGGGGACCTCTGACTCTGCACAACTCTGACAGGAGGAGGCAGCTGGGATGGGGTGGGTCAGGCTCTGCTCCCAGGGAACAGGGGCAGGATGAGAGGACCCACCCCAAGCTGTGCCAGGGGAGGTTTAGATTGGATATTGAGAAAATTTCTTCATGGAAAGGGTGGTCAGGGAGGTGGTGAAATCACCATCCCTGGAAGTGCTCAAAACCACGTGGATGTGGCACTTGGGGCATGGTTAGGGGTGGACCTGGCAGTGCCGGGTCTGTGGTCAGACTCAATCTTGTTGAGGTTGGAGAAGCACACCAACTCCACCTTTCCACAACTCCATCCACGTGCTCACCTCCCCTTTTCCCTTCAATCCCAGCAACTCTGTGGCTCCTACGTCTTCATCATCTTCACGGTGCTGCTCGTGCTCTTCTTCATCTTCACCTACTTCAAGGTGCCGGAGACCAAAGGCCGGACCTTCGACGAGATCGCCTCGGGCTTCCGGCAGAGCGGGGGCGGCCAGAGCGACAAGACCCCGGACGAGTTCCACAGCCTGGGCGCTGACTCGCAGGTGTAACCCGGACCCCGGCTCCGCCGCCGCCCCCCGACCCGGGGGGACTTTTTAAAACACTTTGTACAGACCCCAGGCAGGAGGGAGTGGAGTGTGGGGGGGGATCTGGCTCTGATGCCCCCTCTCCAGCCTCCCCCAGTGCTTTACTGGGGACAGACTGAGCTATTTTATTTTATTATTTTGTGGTTGGTTTTTTTTTGGTTTTTTTTTTTTTTTTCTGCTAGGAACGAATTTTATTTAATTTTTTTTTAGTTGGTTTCGCGTCCAAGATTTCAAAGCCAATAGGTGTTTTAAAACCCAGCCACTCAGCCCCCCCAACACAGGAGGGCAATTTCCTGTTTTTTTATTGACGACGCGATAGTTATTTAACGGAAAAAATCACATAGAGGAAGTTTTTAAAAAAAAAGCTGGAAGCTTATTTTTTAACATTCTAATCATAGAGGAAAAAAAAAAAAAAAACCAAAAATCACATAAATTGACTAAATCTAATATTTTTTTAAAAACAAACCTACCAAGGAAATGAGTCATTTTTTTAAAAGTCTCCTTGATTTCAAGCCCTGCGGTGGGTTCGTGGACGGGGACCTCCCGCCCGGGGCAGCGCGGAGGACGGAGCCGTCCCGGATGGATCGGTTGGAAAGGTCAATCCATTGTCACAGGCTCCTCTCCTTTCGCCTGAAAATTCCAACTGGGAGGGGAAAAAAAATATGGGAGAAAGGTGGGGGGGGAGATGTGTTCTTGTTGAATTTTTGGGATTAATCTTGGCAATATTTGCCCGACAGTGAAGCGCCAGCGGCAGCCGCACACGACAACATCCCCCTCCATCACCACCCCCATCCCAGGACTCACCAAAATCCAGCACTGCATGGATACAGCTGTTTCCTGCTCTGTGTATAGACTGGAAGATATTTATATTATATATATTTTTGTTCAATGGTTGTTAATAGTAGACATTTAAGTTATAGCGTTTCTGATTTGACAAGCCAAGTACTGTAAATATTCTTGGAGTATATTCACACTGTATAATTGCATACAAAAAGGTACAGAAAAAGGTTATAGTTTCTATAGCAACTAAGAAAAAAAAAAAAGCTTGTACATGGTTAGGATGACTTTTTGTATAGTTCTGCACTGTAGTTGTATCTATTGCACTGAATTTCAGGCTGTAGTATATTAAAAGAAAATACACATGAGAAATACTGTCCTTTTCAAACAAAACTGAAAACACACACAAAAAAAAAGCATTTCCCTGCGTGCAGCTGGTGTGGGAGCTCCTGGCACACTCCCAAAGCCACAGGGAGGGTTGTTTTTTCTTTTGTTTGTGTTGTTTTTTTTGTTGTTTTTTATTAATAGTATCTTTTTTAAAATGTATTTGTTTGGTTTGGAAGTGATGACACTTGACCACACGTGAAAGAAAATAAAGGGGGGGGGGTGGAATAAAATAAATCTCTTTAAAAAATGCCTGTTCTCAGCTGGTTGTGGCACAGCCTCACCAAGCTGTGGGGGGGTGTGTGTGGTTTTTTTAAGCAAATCCCTGCAGTGAAGTGCCAAGGGGAAGGTGTGTGGTGTGAACAATAAAGGAGAATGTGAGCAGCCACCCAGCCCTGGTGTCCTGTGCCTTTTATTTCTCGCAGCCAAACTTTCCCTGCCCTGGCAGGGCTGGGGGGTGTCTGCAGTGCGTGTCCCTGCAAAGCTTTTCCACCACGGGCACGACTCACCTGGTTGCAAAATACCTGCTCTGGGTGCACAACCAGCTCTGAATGGCCTGGGCTGGGATCACGGGGGCTCCTGGCTGGAGCTGCCCTGCCCCTGGACCCCAAACCTGCTCCCCTTGCCCAGCACGGAGCCTTGGTCATGCCACGAGCACCTGAGCAAGGAAAGGAAAGGAAAGGGAGACGGAGGGAGGAGGTTGCTGCTGCTCTGTGCATTTGGTTTTTTTTCCCCTCCAGCTGAGATGGTGCCAAGAGCTGCAAGCCTGAACATTTTCAGGCAAAGAAATGCTGATGTTGGTCACTTCAGGCTTTTTGCTATTTATTGAAGCTGCTCTTTGCCCTGCAGGGCATGGCTGTTGTAGGAATCATTCTTGTAGTGTCTTTAAGAGCTCCCCAGAATGTTCTTTCTGTGCCCAGGGCTCCTCTCCTCACTCTGCTGTTCATTCCTGGCTCCAGGAAATGCTCAGCCCTGCATAACCTTCAAAACCCAGGCTAAAGAAACTCAGGGTTTTGAGCTCTGATCCCAAACACAAGGGCCTGATTTCCAGATGCTGTCTGCTCAGCACTTCCTCAAAATCAATTCCTGGTAAAGCACAGAAATTACTGAATTTTTAAGCCATAAATACACAGGAATGCAGATTCCAAACTGGAATTACAGACCCCAATAGACTGAACCTTGAACTCAGAAGAGTCTGGCTCAAGGATAGGTTCTGCAAGCCTGAACACTTCCAGGCAAAGAAATGCTGATCTTGGTCACTTCAGGCTTTTTCTATTTATTGAAAAAAATAAACAACAGCCTGCAGGGCACGACTATTGTAGGCATTGCTCTTGTAGTGTCTTTAAGAGCTCCCAGAATTCTTTCTGTGCCCAGGGCTCCTCTCCTCACGCTGCTGTTTCATCCCTGGCTCCAGGAGATGCTCAGCCCTGCACAACCCTCATTTCCAGGCTGGCTTTGTTCTGTTGAACGCTCAGAGCAGCCCCACGGCCCTGGAAGGATTACAGCCACCACCAAGCTCCAAATCCCTGCTGACCCAAATCCTTGTGCCCTGGGGCACTGTGCCAGCAGGCACAGCTCCCCAGCATCCCCCACCCCGCGGCAGTGACCGTTCCAGCCCCTCGGAGATGATCATTCCAGGCCTTTCCAGCACCTCCCATGGAATTATTCCACACCTGATGGCGTGGATGGACCAAAGCATCTCCCCCAGGAGTGCTGGGAGCTCTCCTGACCCTTCCCCAGGGCACCCTGAGCACCTTCTCCCACCCCCTGCAATGGAACGTGGCTGAACCCGCGGTTTTCCCTTCCCCAGCAGCAGCAATCCCAGCTAATTGCTCAGGCCCCAGCTTGATGAAGCGTTTACAAAGCTCACTTGACTCCAGCCCAACTCGGCGAGGCAATTAAACACCCTCATAAATCCTCCTGCAGTAAATGAGCCTCAATGGGAGCTCAGGGCTCAGCCCCACATTCCCTTCTCCCCTTTCCCAGCCGGGAGGGATCACGGCCACGGCACTGCCCCGAGCTTCCCGCACTCCCCACGGCCTCTGCAGCCTCCTGGCCCTGCTCTGGTGTCCCTGTCCCTCCCCACAGCAGGGTCACTGTGTCCCCTGGGGCAGGAGCCAGCTGGGAATGGGGCTGGTGGCACATCCAAGAGGATGCCAGGAGGGAACTGCATTCTCCTTCAGCTTAGAATCCCCACTTGGAGCCTTTTCTTTCCTTCCCTCAAGGCTGCTTAGAGTCCCTCATGCCTCCCGTGGTCCCTCCTGGATGGAAGTTCTTCCCATTATTCCTGGAAGTGGAACAAACGAGTCTCTCAGTGCCCAGAGCTATGAGAAGCTCTGCAGAAAGAGAAAATTCTGAGCACCTGCCATGGTGGAAGGGTGAAGTGGGATAAACTTCAAACCAGGCTGGTTTTCCAAGCCAGGCTGGGATTTTCTGGACATTGGTTTGGAGATGGAGGGGCTCTGCAGGGAGCTGCAACACTTTGTCAAACCCAACCAGCTCCACCACCCCAGCCCTTCCCTGTGTCCCTCTCTATCCCTCCATGGGCTCTCCCTCACCAAACTGGCCAGCAAAGCCAGGAGTCCAGTAAGAAACACACCTGAGCAGGTCTTGGCTCCTGGACAGCCACCATGAGGCTGTGAGAGGCTGTTTGCTCACTCCCAGCCTGGCCAATAAATGATTTATTCAGTGTGCTCGTGGTGCTTTTGTTTCTCACCCTGCTGCTGTTACTCCCTGAGTGGTTACAGAAGTGGAGCAGCACATGAAGAATAACTCAGACCAAAATGTTTATTTTCCAAACAGGTTGGGACAGCCCCAGATGCAGCTGGAAAGTGGCAGCAGCAGGGAGGACCAAGGTGGTGTCCTGGAACCTGGATCAGAGAGAAGCTGGCCAAACAAACTGGGTCTGGCAGAGCCAGTTTTCATGTGGTCTGGGAAAACTGGGCATTAATCAGCTCCAGCAGGTGACCAATGGTTTCTAGAGAGTCTTGCTGGGGCAGCTGCTTGGACAGGTCGAAGGCTTTCATCCCCAGCTCCTGGGCCTGGAATGGGACAGAGAAACGCCCAGGCATGGTCAGGAACCTGGATTTTCTCATGGGAGAGTTAAATACCTGCTGAGGCTCAGCCTGGAGCAGATCCAGTGAGGTGACCTGCACAAGCTGCTTTACAGGAGAGCCTAAAGCTGCCAGCAGATCCCATATTTAGGATCCAGTGGTGCAGACAGAAGATTACTGACCCCAGCCCCCCATGCTGGGCATCACCTCCTGTCTAACACAGCTCCTCTGAACAATCCCAAAGCCATTTCAGGGGAAAAAAAATCATCTGTACTGACTCTGAACTAAATCCTTCATTTCTCTTGATAAGGAACAAAATAATTTCCCTTGGTAGCTCTTCTAGGGGTTAGAAACTCTCACAATTATAAAGCTTTGTCTTTTTTTATTTTTCAAACAAATTCAAATTTGTTTGTGTGTCCCAAACACAAGCTTCATTGTATTATATAAAGCCAAGTTGTGGCTTCTACAATACAATGAAGAGACCATTAATATTTTAATACAGTACTTTTCAACATCTGTATTTTCACTCCTCAATACCCAGGCTGAAGAAGCTCAGGGTTTTGAGCTCTGATCCCAAATACAAGGCCTGATTTCCAGATGGTATCTGCTCAGAACTTCCTCAAAATTAATTCCTAGTAAAGCACAGAAATTACTGAATTTTTAAGCCATAAAGACACAGGAATGCAGATTCCAAACTGGAATTACAGACCCAAACAGACTGAACCTTGAACTCAGAAGAGTCTGGCTCAAGGACAGGTCTGTGAGCCCCAGATCTTGCTCTGTGTAACCCTTGAGCTCAGATCTAAAGGCAGCTACACTGCCAAGATAGTCCAGATAAAGGAAGAACCCAGAAAATGTGGATAACTGCAGGATCCACTGGCCTGGCAGAGACCAAACCTCATCCCCCAGGATTGTCATCTTTTACAGAGTGCAGGTCACAGA